AACTTCCATGGTCACTACACCACTACTCACAATTGACAAGATAATGGAATCAATCCAAGTGTCCACCAATAGATGAAGAAAATGTGTATATGTACAATGAAATATGATTTAGCTGTAAACAGGAAGTCTAGACATTTCTGGCATGATGAAACTGAAGGATGTTATGCTAAGTGAAATAAGGCAGGCACAGAAAGATTTGTATATGGAATCTAAAGTTCAGCTCAAATAGAGTAAAACAATGGTTACCAGAGGTTGGAAATAGGGTTGAGGGGTGAGATGGAGAACAGATAGTTGGTTAAATGGTACAAAGTTTCAGACAGAAAATGAGGCATACTCTGAGATCTATTGCACAGCAGAGTGATTACAGATAATCATAATATATATTTCAAAATAACTAAGTTTCAAATGTCTCACCATGAAAAATGATAGATATATTAACTTGATGTAATCATCCCACACTGTATACAGAGAGTAAAACTTAAGACTGTACTTTTCAAAAGGATATAATTATGAATTGTTGATTAAAATTAATTTTAAAAATCTCTTCTTCCTTGTAGGAAGCCTAGAAAAAGTCAAAATTTAAAAACAACCAATTTGAGCACACTATTCAACTATTCAGAAAGCATTAAATATAATAGGGTGACCTATAAGAAGATCAGAGATAGAGAAGAGTAGGACATAGGAATGCTGTTACTTATAAGCCTTGTAGAATTAGTTAACAGTTTAAATTGCTTACATGTATCACCTTAACTAAAAAATTAAACTGAAGAATTGTATTGTTATTGAACGAAAACAGAATAGCATAATAAACTGCAAAAATAAGTAAACTTTTACATCTACGAGACCTCTTATTTTACAAATGAGTAGGTTTCAAATAATTACAAGACTTGTTCAATTTTCACATCCAATCAGTAATTATGCTGGAACTAAAACTGTACAAAATCTCCAGATGTTTGCACAATTATTATAAAGAATCACATACCAAAGCAGAAAAGATAAAAACAAAAGCTGAAAATGATAAAGTATAGGTTACATTCTACAACTTAATACAATCAGTAGGATTTTTTTTTAAAAAGACCTGTGGGATAATGCCAACTTCATCTTGTACGGAACAGAAGTAATTTCAAAGGTATTTAATGTTGTCCTTTCATATACAAATATACAGTACTTGCAATCCCAGTTCACTATTTTCCACAGCAAAGTACTCCAATCCTGTAAAACTCTAGAATAGTGATTAAGTTGAAGTCTTGTTAAAAAGATTACTTTTGGCCAGATATTCCAATTCAGTAGTCTGGCATGGATACCAAGAATCTGCTTTTCTAACAAGTACCCATTTCATTCTGATACTGCTGGTCCAGAGAATACCCTTTGAGCACTACCGCTCTAGAACAATGTATACCACAAGTTATTTTAGTGTTCCTAAAAAGATAATTTCAAGGAAAGGCCAAAATTTCAGTCAACACTACATATCCTAAATCTTATCTTTGAGATTCACAATGCCCATCAGTGATGTTAAGGGCCCTAAGGAATGTTTTGGAGCCACTGTTTGACCTGGCTTCTCCCAGTTTTTCCTCCAATGCTTCAAAGCTTGAGAGAAATTTTGCCCGCTAATGCTTCAAAGTTTGAGAAACGTTGCCCTAGACCTTTTTCTGCAGTTTAAACCTAAGACTGTTGGAATAATTATACGAGATACTGGATGTTCAGTGGTTATTGCCTGAGTGCCTAATTAAATATTAGTTAGCTGCTACCTGAAGTGATCCAGTAACTATTCTCTGCTCAAAAAAAATAACTGCTAGAACTATTTTTTATTTCTTCTTTCACTTAATAAACAGGGAAACTTTTAATAAAACATATGAATTCTAATGGTTTCAATTCTAAGATAATACTCCAGGTTTCAACCAATTTTTTTTTTTTTTTTTTTTTTTTGGGACATGGTCTCACTATGTTGTTCAGGCTGACCTTGAATTCACTATGTAGAGCTCAGAGTGCCCTGGACCTTGAGATCTCCTGCCTCCGCCTCTCAAGTGCTGGGATTATAAGTGTTCACCAACATGCCTGGCCAACCAAGTTGGGAGGGTTTTTTTTAAGGTTGAGACAGGGTCTCACTGTATAGCCCAGGCTAACCTAGAACAGCAACCCTCCTGCCTCAGCCTCCTGAGTGCTGGGATTATACATGTGCACCACCAAACCCAGCTTCTTTTTTGGGGGGGGACAGGGTCTCACTAAGTAGTTCAGGCTAACCCTAAACTATGTATTCCAGGCTGGCCTCAAACTCGCAGTGATCCTCCTGCCTCACCCTCTCAAATGCTGGGATTACAGGCATGTGCCACACCTGGCTGGGAGTCATTTTTAAAAGCACATTATCATCTGTGACAAACAAAGTATAGTTGTAGATATACAGCATATAACACAATGCTTTTATTATTTTAGTTTCTGAGGAGCATGAAAAGAGTGTTATATACTTGGTTTGCTCAGTTAAATTCTCGCCTATTCTTCATTGGTAAATGGAGAGGGCCTGGGTAACTCAGCTAAAGCCTCCATCTCAAAAAATAAAAAAGGAGGCGAGTGTGGTAGTGCATATAATCCCAACGCTCTGGGAAACTGAGACAGAGGATGGCAATCTTGAGGCCAACCTCAGCAACACAGCAACTTAGTGACACTGTCTCAAAATAAAAAATACAAAGGGCTGGGATTGTAGCTCAGTGTGCAGACCCTGGGCTAATTCCACAGTATTGCAAAATAAAATATTGAAAAGGAGTTAGGAGTGTAGCTCAGTGTAAAGGCCCTGGATTCAATCCCTCGTACTGCAATAAATAAACAGCAACCTAAAACCTCCAATAAGTTATATACAATTTGAATTAATTGGGACAGTCATCTGATCTCAAATATTTGGTCCCACTGTCCCCACAAATGATGGAAATTTGCTGAAAATTCAGTGCTCTATAATTACAAATTCCAGACCATTTCCCATCTCTTGGAGCCACAGATGGCATAAAACTCTTGAGCTGTTTTCTCATTTGCAAAATGGAATATCAACAATTTCATAGGGCTACTATAAACACTAAGTGAGTTCATAGGTATAAAATGTTCTGAATAGTACCTAATATGCACTAAGAATTCACAAGTGTCAATCAAACCTAATTTATCCCCTACTCCCCCATAAAAATGTTACTATTTTGTACAGCAGAAAACTGATCACCCAATGGCTATCATGGACACTCATTACAAATCTTTTCCAAAAATCAATGTAAAATCTGTCCATGTGTCATTTCTCAAAATAAATGGAGATTTTCAGTCATCTCTACAAATCAGTGGGATTAAATGCTTATGCCCTAATAAAGGGCCAAGAAAATCACCTATATTACTGAGTCATTCCTCACTTTAGTCTTAGCTTTTTTATACTGTCTTTGTGCCTATATATGATTTACCTTTAAAAGTATACAAACTAGAAGTATCTAAAATCAAACATCTAATAGTACTTTTTAGAGACATTTAAATGTTCCAGAATCCTACATCAAGTTCATTGGTTTGACTATCTTACAACAAAATCCTTCCAGCTTTTTTTCTTCCCAAATGTAAGCAACATTACCTAAAATCCCTAATTCTCAAGGCTGTCTCATAAGATCACATCACTTTTTATCTATTCCAACATCAGAAAGTATTAGGTGTCTACTTCTGAACCTGTCCATGGTATGGGCTTCCAAATATGCTAATTCTTTATACTTGGAAACTTAATACCACTAACAGAAAACTGCTAAACAAATTATACTGCACTTACTGACCTAAGAACCTAAAGCCATACCGTGTAATGAAACCAGATTTATATTGTAAAATACATCAAATAGAAATTTTATTGACATTTTTCGTAAGGACCAGTAAGATGTGTAACCTTGGAATTTCTTAGCCTAGCTCCACATATTCAAAATTTGTGGCTTGTACTAAATTTTCTTCAGACCTAAAGTCTTCAATTCTTTGTCTTAATTCATTTATCAATCCTACCCAGAGCATTTTTCTACATTCCAAAAAAACTCAGGAATCACAGGTTTCTAAGTCCTAAATAAGGTTGTGATACAAGTGTGAAATTCCTGCTAAAACAAAGAACTAAAAAATTAAAAAATAAACCTTCCTTGGAAGGGACAAGTAGTTGACAAGATATATCATGTACAGGTACAAACTCCCTTTGATAAATACAATCGTTACATATATTTAAATTGTACCAATAAAATTTTAAAAATCTATAAACAAAAAGCTTACATGTGTATTACAGTATAATAGAAAAAAACACAAGACTGAGTGTCAAAGTGCTGCTTTTAGGGGCAGGAGTTTTGTTTTTGAGACAGGTTCTCACTTTGTACTCTGGGCTGGCCTTGAACTAGGTATACAGCCCAGGCTGGCCTTGAACTTGTGATACTCCTGCCTCCAAGGCCTACTGAGTGGTGGGATTACAGGCATGTGCCACCTTGCCTGGCTGCTCTTCCAAAAGCTGTTATTTTAGGCAAATTATAACCTCTAACCTCTCAACTAAGAAACCATGGGACTGGATGAAAAATTCTTGAGAATCCCTGCCAAATCAAAAAAAAATCTGAAGTACCCTTTGATATAAAATATAAAATTCCACAGAAGTGTCAAGATGTTACTACACACAACTGACATCATGGCTTAAATCTCTTTTAAATGAAATAATGAAAGGTAGATCATATATTATTTCAGAAAAACAAAAAACATTTGGGGGTCCATTGCTTTTCTTAGTTTGCCTAATGTTCGAGTAGACATTGGTTAGCCTTCTGGCCACAAAATAAAGAATGAATGACCAACATAACCTTTTATGCCACAATTTTTCTCGAAATGAGAAAAACATTTCTAAAAGAGGGCCCATGAAACATTTAAGATATTCTCCCTGGATTTGAAAAAGATCTTTTCTAAAACATCATTATAATATTAATATACAATTATGATTATGGTGTTGTGAATTCTCAACTATGCAGACATGGATTACTCACTTTTTAGATTACTCTCAGCAAATTTTTAATCCAAGTTGGCTTCCTCCTGCTACCCAGAGTACTTCTCAGCCACCACCTTCTACCATTAGTAAAGAATTTATCTTAATAGAAGCCTAAGTAAAACACAACCAGGAAAATAAATCTACAAAAACATTACATAATACATCCCAAGTAAAATGTTTGAAACATTTACCATTTTGGGATAATTGAAAGTAGATCTGTACAGCAAATGTTCTATTTTCATGGATAAAGTATACCTAAACTTTGACCAGAGAACTATGGATACATGGGGATAATCTACCTTGAAAGTCTTAAGACTACATATTCTAATTAGAAAGAATTTTGCAATGTGCCTATCTCATCATATGAATTCTAAAACCATGTATTTATGCCATCATATACATCATTTATTATTCATTTGGAAAACTATTATAAGCACATAAATTGTCAAATTTTCTGTTACAGTAAATGTTTATCATTGTGAGAGGCTATCTTTAAATGTTAACGTGTAAGTCCATTTTTATTCTTCTCAATTTCCTAAAGCTTCGATACTGGGCAAGATTTTGTCACTGTATTTTAGAGGGGAAAAAATGAACATATCCACCTCACTCTACTCCTCAGGATAAAGATTTTCCCAAGTACACAACTAACTTGGATCATCATTTTTAGGCAATTACTGACCTTTTTTATTTCAGAGCACAACCCATTATTTATACTTCCTTTAAAAAAAACTGGTTCCTTGGATTATGAAGCTAAAGATGCTGGTTCTCATGCAAAATATTTTTAAAGTTTTTACTGTTTCAGTTTTTTACTCTAAGGAACATCAAACTATATTTGTGATTCTTGCTAGTGTTTTCACATTTCATTTTTTCACAATGCCAAATCCATTTGGGATTCTAGGACCAAACCTCTGAATCCACATTACATACTGAAGATTAAGGAAATCTAGTATGTTTACTAAATTTCAATTAGGATTTGGACCTAAATGCAATGTTCACACCATAAAATTTCCCATACACTGTATAGATGTAGGAAACTTATTTATATTATTCTACAAATATAGATTATGTATTTAATTTGATTTAATCACATTTCATAGATTAGATTTGGGGGTATTTTTAAAGTGTTGAGAATTTAATGTTTATTTTTGTAATCCAACAACTTTATCCAAAAATGCAGAAAATTTTTCTGGCTGGCCAGGAGGATAACATTTCAGTGTTGATAAGTCCATTGATTGTAACAGCCCAGGAAGCATGCTAAAACAAAAGAAGAAAAGCATTAGGTAACATGGGAGAAAATTTCATAATTCATCTGCTGTCCACTTGATGACTAAAGCCAACCTCTAAGAAAACACTGATGCTTCTTAAACTGTACAGGTGAATTTTTATGTATTTTATTATAGGTATATAGACTAAAATTATTATAAGAATATTGTAATATGTCAATATGAATTCAACAGATACTTTATCTCTTAATTGAAATATTTCAGAAATGTTACTTCAGAAAAAATGTGTTCACATGGCTTTGTAATACTTCTCAAAACTAGGCAGATATGACATGAAATTTCTCAAAACTGGGTAGACATGAAAACATGAAACTATTACTTCAGAAATTTACTTCCACCAGCCATACCACCAATCAGCCTAGGCTTGGGGAATATAAATGATTTGCCTAAAATGAAAATAAAACCAATTATTGATCTGAACACTTTCATATATTTGGCTTTCCTGAAATTAATGTAAGAATTCTAAATGAATAAATTGGAATGGATAAAATATGGTATTAATACATAATGGAGTACTACTTTGCCATAAAGGATAAATGACTTATTTGTAGGAAAATGGGTACACTTTGAGACTATAATGTTAAGTGAAATAAATCAGACACACAAGCTTAAATATCACATAGTTTCTCTTATATGAGAAACCCAAAATATATATACAAAACAAAATAAAACACAGTTAATAGGAAACAGGGAGATAGATCTTTTGCAAAAAGGAAGGGGACCAAGAGATAAAGGGATCCCAGAAGGGGATGAAAAAAGAATTCAGATGTGTTATGTACATATATCAACTCCCCATGATGTATGTGGCCATTATGTGCTGCAAATATGTACTAATAAAAAGTTAAAAAAATGAATGAATAAATGAATTGGAGACTTGTATAGTTTCCTTTTCAGCCTGAGTATAAACTCAGGATATGTTTGTAAAATCAATGTTTTCCCTTTTACGATGTATGAGGTCTGATAAAAATGCAGATGTTCACTTTTAAAAATGTATTACACTAAAAGATATTGTTATCAATACCTTTCAAAATATTCTCCCTTACTATGAACACTTTTATCCCATCATTCTTGCCATTTTCTGAAGAAGTTCTAGAAGTCATCTTTTGTGTCTTTAGTTGTGCTGTCCTGGCTGCCTCAATGTCCTGAGTCAATGCAAAACATTTATCTTTCATAGTCATTTTGATTTTGGAGCAGAGCTAGAAGTTGCTCAGTGCCATATTCAGATGAGAACAGACTATAATGTTTTTATGAGCCTGCCTTTACATTGGATGGCACTTGGTAACAGCATTCACCATTATGTTTTTAATCACTCCTCCTAAAGACACTCAGAGGACCTTCCAAAGAGGACATATTGCTTCAGAAAGCAGTAAGAAGGATGGAATTCAGTGTGTTCAAAGTGAGGGGGGATTGTTTTAAAGATGATTAAGAGCAATGTGTCTTAGTGTAATAAATGTCCTTTAAATATTCACCATATATTTTGATTGCCCTTTGTATCACATAAAAGCTAATTTAACATTTTGAATGAAAATACTCAACAAAAGCATCTGGAAACATTGCCTTGCATACAGCAGTTAGGAAGGTGGGAATCTAGTACTCTCTAGAAAATAGTATCAACTCCTAACAATATCAACCACCCACAGGCAGCTATGCCCATTATCTGAAGCATACATAATTTTAATTATGTAGCTTTTCTTCTAAAGTCTTGCAATACTTCACAAGACCCTGCTTTCCCTCTCTTCCATCAGTACAGAGATGAGGACAGCAACAATTTTTTTTTTTTTTTTTTTTTTTCGGGGATTGAACTCAGGACCTTGTGCTTGCGGGCCGGGCAGGCGGTGGCACCACTGAGCTAAATCCCTGGCCCTTACAGCAACAATTTTATTCCCAAAACAATGAGTGAATCGGTCTCCTTCCAACGAGTATAGGAATCCTTTTTTTTTTTCACTGATGCATACTGAGTGCCTACAAAAATGTCTGGTACATAATAGGTGCTGAATAAATATCTAATGAACAAATAAGTATTTACTAAGCACCTAAGGAACAAATCAGAAAAATTAAAATAAAAGCTTATTATGCTCTAAATAGTTTCTTCTAGGCATTCCTATTTTAAAATTAACTTCAACTTACTATAACAGAAAAATACATATATAAAATTAAGACTTCATCAGGTATTTAGTTTTTAAAACACAAAAGTAGGTTAAGTTTTAAAGTCAAACAATTGGGAATTACTGACCTGGCCCTTTGGCAAGCTTCTAGTGTCTCAAGGAAGAACTAACAGAAAACAAAACAGCAATTTTCTTCATCCTTCTATTGTGATGTTGATCAGTTCTTGTTGAATTCTAATATACCTCTAGAAAATAATATTCCTTACCATAAAGTAATTCTCTGCTTAAAAGGCTCCAAAGGCTTATCATTATACATAGAATCAGAATTACTACATGAGCTATCCCCTCCCAGCCTTCATAGTATACTCTCCCTTGTTCACTATGCTCCCTTGCTCACTATGCTCCTGCCACATTAACCTTACCTCTGTTTCTCAAATGCACTAGGCTTTTAAAATTGCTATTCCTCTGCCTCTCAGAGCTTCACATGACTGGCTCTTCTCTGTAATTCAGGTCTCACTTCAAATGTCATGAATTTTGTCAAGTCTTCTCTGATGATTCTGCCTAGTGTTTACTCCAACTATCACATCACTCTGTCTTACTTTCTTTGTAGCATTACTCTGTCGTGTGAAATTCTACCACTACAAAATAAGTACCAGGAGAGCAATGGACTATATCCCTAGCACTTAAAATCAGTGCCTGCTACATTTCAGCTGCAACTGGATAAATGAGTACATTAAATTTAAAGATTCCAAAGAATTTTAAGGGAAAAACCTTAATTGAAATCAAATGCTTTTCTTGAAAATCTAAATAATGAACTCTAAAAAGTAGTTTCTCAGAAATGTGTACACATGTATGAACACACACATACTCACATGCTCTCACATATTCACATGCAAAGAGATGGCCACAGATACAGAAAAAAAAAAACAGCACAGATTGAAGTCAAAGTAGAAGTAAATGAAAGGGTGTTATAAGAAAATCAAAGTATGTTTAAGTGTTAGAAGATAGGAAGTAAAACAGACAAATTGAGTTAGGTAAGTGCATAAGAACAGCTAGTGAAGAATTTGGGAAAGAGATGAAATAATCAGTCTTTAGTATACCTGCAGGTACAGCAGAAGAAATGCCCCTCTTTGTGTAGCTGCTTTGCCAATTGCAGCTGATGATTGTTCATCAATTTTTCATTTACAACTACCACAAGTGGCTTGCCTTTTTCCAGAGTCTCCAAACAGCTTCCTGCACCTATGTAAATAAATTTAATACAATTTTTTTAAAAGTAGTCTACCAAACTTTATAGTTAGAACTCTCAATTTGACTAAAAACTTTTCAATTATACATTCAAAAATGACAAAAGCATACTTAAACCTGACTTAAAATATATTTTTTTAAATCACTGCTGACCATATGGCCCATGATTCAGTACTATGCTACCTGCTCACTAGTGGTATCTCTGGCTGTGGCCTTGAATCCAAGTATGATTCAAGGTCAACATACTGTACACAAAACTATGCAGTCATCCATGTATATTGTCAGGTTCTACATCTTCTAATTCAGTCAATGGTGGATTGAAAATACTCAGAAAAAAACTACACTTACACTAAATGTATACATTTATTGGTCATTATTCCCTAAATAATTCAGGGTAACAACTACTTACTGGTGTTTTCATTGTATTACATAGAATGAGAAATCTAGCAATGATTTAAAGTATACATGAGGATGTGTGTAGGTCATGGGCACGTGGCTGTTTTATTTAAGGGGCTTTGGCATCCCCAATTTTGTATCCTCAGGTGTCCTGGAACCAATCCCCTGTGGATACCAAGAGACAATTGTAGTAAATAGAGAAAACGCAAGCCTCCAACCACAGGCACCAATTAAACCACTCTTTGTGAGTCTATCTGTGAGGTACCACCCCTATGATAGTTAAGGCTAAAACTCCCTGAATACGTAGGCATATATTATTAGGATGGGTTCAATTTTGAAATCAAAAGTCATCTAGACATTTTAAATGGGAGTAAAGAAGCTGTTGGTAGATAAAATCCTTTTTTGAATATCCTATGCTAGGATAAGAAGAACAGATTCCAGTACTAGACTGTTACCTGTTCACCATTTACTTACTGGCTGGATATGTTACTTAACCTCTCTTTGTCTCAGTTTTTTCATTTCTAAAATAGAGATATTTATATTTAGTTCTCAGGATCATTTGGTAGGATTAAATTAGTTAAAACACAAAGCATTAGAGCAACGCCAAAAGTTTCATTAGCTATTATACTACATATTTTTAATTACTCATCTATTGGTAATGTCTGCTTCTAAGGACTTTTCTCTCCTCAAAGTAGACTTTTTAAAAACCAAGAGACACCCTCCACACACACAGTGGTTAAAAGTGTAATGTTCCCCAAAGCTATTCTAAAAGTACTGGAAGTTTCATTAGATACTTGTACAGGTACTGGAAGATCATCCGGCTGGTTCTCTAAAGAGTATGTGGTTGCTAAAGAATATTTTTTAGGGCCAGGGATTTAGCTCAGTGGTTCCACTGCCTGCCTCGAAAGTGCAAGGTCCTGAGTTCGATCCCCGTTACCAAAAAAAGAGTATATTGTTTTGCCGGGGATTTAGCCGCCGCCTGCCCCGCAAGTGCAAGGACCCGAGTTCGATCCCTGGTACCAAAAAAAAGAATATTTTTCACGGTGTTTATTTCACATTCATACTCAATA